TATAGACCGCCATGGGCCGTAGCAACCCTCCGCCGGCAGCCACATTTGCTTCCACCACGCCGCCACCGCTCCACATCTTTGCCCAACGTTACCAATCCTCATTGCTAAACCCCAATTTCACTCAAATCCTTATCCGAACCCTTTCCATCTCGAATGGCCACCGACGCCTCCGCGAAATTCCATAATCCAGAGCTGATCCCTGTCCCGCAGCACCACATGGAACACCAGCCGGAACCCTCCGCCGCTGTGGCGGCGCACGACGGGATCCATTTCTGGCAGTTCATGATCGGCGGCTCTGTCGCCGGCATGGTTGAGCACATGGCGATGTTCCCCGTCGACACCGTCAAGACGCAGATGCAAGCCCTAGGTTCCTGCCCAATCAAGTCCGCGAGCGTCGGCCACGCGCTCGAATCCATTCTCAAACGCGACGGCCTCAGAGGCTTCTACCGGCGGCATAGGCGCCATGGGTCTCGGCGCCGGCCCCGCCCACGCCGTCTATTTCTCCGTCTACGAGCTCTCGAAGAAGAGCCTTTCCGGCGGGAACCACAACAATCCGGCTGCCCACGCGTTGTCTGGGGTTTTCGCCACAATCTCCAGCGACGCCGTTTTGACGCCCATGGATATGGTGAAGCAGAGGCTGCAGCTGGGCAGCAGCCCGTACAGTGGGGTTTGGGACTGTGTTCGGAGGGTGGCTCGGGAAGAGGGGATTAGGGGTTTTTTTGCATCCTACAGAACCACTGTACTGATGAATGCGCCCTTCACAGCAGTACATTTCGCAACATACGAGGCGGCCAAAAGAGGGTTAATGGAGGTTTCGCCGGAAAATGCTAGTGACGAGAGATTGGTGGTTCACGCCACAGCTGGGGCAGTGGCTGGGGCGCTGGCAGCAGCCCTTACCACACCTCTCGATGTTGTGAAGACTCAGTTGCAGTGCCAGGTATTTTTAGCTCTAACTCACTTTAATCATCCCTGGTGTGAGCTTATTGATGTGGAGTATAAAATTTTTAGTTTGTTCTGTTATTTTTACCATATCTGGTATTTCGGTGGGAAACTAATGAATTTAAAGAAGAATGTTGCTTATTTGTGTTGTAACCCTGTAGCTGAAAGAATATGTAGGGAAAAATGTGAACTTTTTGTTGTTTCAATGTGGATCTTCTGGTCAGTCGAGCCCTTTTACGCCTGAATTCAGCTCTTCGTGCTAGTTGAACATGATGTTTTAGCTGCTTTACCTTCTCTAATTTTGGTTGCATCTTTAACGAATTCGTGAGTTTTTTTTTTTTCTGGTGTTACTTTGAGAAAGTTTAGTTTCTGTATGATTGTTGGATGGTGTTATTGCTGTCATGCAATTTTCTTAAGGATTCTGGCTGGATTGTAGTCATTTATAAGAGTTTCGAGCCAGCGATCCTAATTTCCTTTTCTGAAGCTTGGATATTGGACTTCCGAAGGCTGCTTGTGGTTGGGCTTACATTAATCAAGATGGATGAAGTTTGACAGTAGATACCGATAATAGTTCTTCATTGTCACGTCAATTGAAGCGAATATAATAATGCAAATTCCTTTGTATCTGGATAATTGAAAAAAATGGTGGGTATCAGAGTATCAGAGTATAGCAGTTTAGTACTTGACGTGCAGTAGAGGGATCCATGTAAAACTATCTGTATTCAAGTCATAATGGCTTTATCAAATCAAAATCATGGCATAGTCTAAAAAAATATTGTACTTCCAGGATGATTTCTGTGATGATAATATATAGGTGGCAGCATAATATTGGCTATGGTATAATATTTGAACTTTAAATTCTCTTTTCAGTTAGAAATTTATTTGATAACATGCTTGTTACGAAAAATAGATTGGTCCATTCCATTTGAATGGCTCTGAACTTACTACATAATTGGTTTAATTAAATTTCCTTTTTTTTTTTTTGGTAAACCTTTGTTTGTTTGGCTTTAGATAGCATATGTTCTAAAGCTAAAGCAAGCTTATTATTAACAGCTAGAACTTCGTTGATTTCTTTCTTGACATAATAAAGTGATTCGTAATTAACAGGTAAAACGCAATTTGGGTACAAAAAACCAGTTTGCTCATTATCTAATATTGTATATGCCTCTGAGTTCCCTTGTTATTTAGTTTCTTTTAGGAATGTTAAGAAACAACTGTAAATGAGAACACAATATAAAGCATAGGTTTTACCAAACAAGATGATAATCTTTATCAGTTGGATTGGATCAATCTGATTACACAACTTGATCATATCATCTTTAAAATTCTTAACTTTCTGTGAGGTTCCCTGTGAAGGAGAAACTATTGTCTTTCTGTTCTCTTCTTCTTTGCTTTCCTTTTTTCTTTTTTCAAGTGAAGTAATAGATTTCTTAACTGACCATTGCTCGGATTTTCGCAGGGTGTCTGTGGATGTGATAGATTCGTGAGTGGTTCAATTGGTGATGTCATCAGAACAATAATAAAGAAAGACGGATACATAGGTCTTCTAAGAGGGTGGATGCCGAGGATGCTCTTTCATGCTCTGGCTGCTGCCATTTGCTGGTCAACTTATGAAACTGCAAAAACTGCCTTTCAAGAACTCAATGCAAACGTGACCTGAGAATTCAAAACTCTGTACAACAAGTTTTGGAATCAAAACTCCATAAAACAGAGGTAACTCTTTACATACTGGGAGACAATTTACGATCAGGACAAGACAACAAGTTTTGGAATTATATAAAATAATGTAAAATTAGCAGTTACTGAATGATAATTGGATTGGAGGTGGTGAATTATTTTTTAGTGATTAATTTGGGTTCCTGTTCCCTGAGATTTATTTTTTCTTTCTTTTTCTTTTTTGGGGTACGTTTGTAATAGAGCATATTTATACNAGGAACTTATATTAATTGATCAAAAGGAACTTATATTTATACAATTTTTTGAGTATAAATAGTTTGATGGGTTTTAGAGGTGAATGTCAAAGTTTGTTTCACGCGAAATAACAGAGGTGGAATTTGTCGAACTCTTACAAGTTACAATGTTAGATAATAGAAATTAATAAGTTTGGTAATATTCTCCTATATTTTGTTTTAACCTTCTAAATTAAATAGACAAATAAAATCCATATAAGAATTTATTTAATTCATAAACAAAAAAACATCCAATATAATAATTTCTCTATTTCATATATTAAATTAAACAAGCTAATAAAATCCATATAGAAATTTATTTATATAATAAAAAAACCAATAATCTATACCGAATCACTGACATTACCATTAATTTGCTAAAGAGTTTGCTCAATGAATACCATAGTTTTCAAAAACAGGGAACCGATTGGCATACCGGTCTGGTTCGAGGCATACAACCGCTTGGGTCCAAAACCGAAAACGAACCACTCAAACCGGTTGAAAACCGGAGACAGCTTACGCGGGTTAGTGGCTCTTATTCAGGACTTCAACTGTTAGTGCACTTGTTGTTTATAAAGCTGATTGTTTTTTATGTGTATCCAAGTGGGATAAGTAACTTACATGTGCTCTTTTTATACATAACAAATAATCTCTTGTTTTTTATGTGTTTCCAAGTTGGATAACTAACTTGTTTGTCCCATTTTTGTTGCATTTTTCGTGCTTGTTTTGCTTTTCTTTTTCCCCCATTTTAGGTCATTTCTTTCGTTTTTAGTCCGTTTCGTATTTTATTATGTGTTTTTCTTGATTTTGAGTTTTTAGGTGTTTTTTCATTTGTTTTCTCGGTTTTCTTCGTGTTTAATTGTTTTTGGTGTGTAGGTCGGGAGCTTCGGGCGAATTTTCTCTTCAGCAAAAGTTTGTTTCGAGCACATAGTTGAATAGAGGGGTTCGTTGGCGATGCATAGCAAAAAACGGAACTCAATTCCGAGTTCGGACGAGCCCAAACGAGCTTGAAACGTAAAATTACGCAGTGCAGTCCAAAGTCGCGACTCGCGAGGCAAAGTCGCGAATCGCGAAATGAAAGTCGTGACTCGCGATAAAAACAGACCCTGAAGGTGCAGTTTGTGAGCTCGAGTCGCGACTCGCGACATTAAAGTCGCGACTCGCGAGTTATGTCGCGACCAACCCCAGAAGTTGAAGATTTTGACGACGTGCGACTCGCGACTTATCGGCGCGAAAATCGAGAAGCGGGATTTTACATCAGATTTTGGACCTAGGGCCATTATTCACTTCCAGACTTTGTTTTTAGGATTTTTCTCTCTAGAAACTATTCCCTTTTCATGCTTTTTCACTTTTGATTGGATTTGGAGATTGAAAAACTCCTTTTTCTCGCTTTGGATTTGGATTGTTCATTGGATTCGACTCTTGGTTCTCTATTAATCGTAAATTTTCCTTTTCAATTAATCCTTGAATATGAATGTTTGGGTTCTTGAGATGAATTGTGTTGAATTCCATATGAGTAACTAATCCATTCGCTAGGGATAAGAGATGATGATGATGTTTACAATTTAGTTGTGAATATCGTGCTTGTTGATCGTTCAATTTATGCGAGTTGTTCTTAACTAGGGTTTATAATTATTGCGCATTGAATGACACTTCGATTTGCAATTGATTTCCAATTGAATATGATTCGTTCTTGTGTGATGTTTTTAAATCTTACGACTAGTAGATTAACAATCGTCTAGGATAATTAATCAACTCTTAGAACCGAAAGGGGAGGAGTTGATCGATCCAGGCTCGTATGAAATAGACTTGTTCGGAAACGTATTATCTATGTGTTTAGTGATTTGCATGATTTACCGTCTATGATACCCCCTTGTTACGAAGAGTTATTGAGGATTAATCTTTAGATGTTAGGTTGTTCAAACCATCCAACGAATGATTTTAGCTTGATATTTGCATTGGTTAGAAAATCATCATCCCCGATGCCCTAGCTTCTTATCCTTTGATCTTCATCTTTGCTTTTAAGTTCGATTTTGCATTGTTTGAATTCTATTTCGTAGTTGATAATTAAAAATCACTATCTTGATTAGAGTGTTTATGATTTAATTTTATTTTATGTGTTATCAACACCATTCCTAGATTCCGAACCGCCAGAGATCGACCCGGGGAAAGAATCTTTCGATTTGGTACTCGGTAAAAATATATTTTGCTACAACATAACGTGTGCTTTTTTTATACAAAACAAATAATCTCTGCTTATATGCAACTGCTGTCTTGTGGCCTAGTGGTAGGAGTTGTGCTTTGTATGTATTAGGTTGTGTACTTGTGTAGCAATTTTAAATTTTAATCACAATCAAAACTCAAAATTAATTTTTTATTTTTTATTCTTTATGTAATGAAAACTGAAAAAATAATAATTAAAATTCGATTTAAAAATGCAAAATACAAATTACTAACATGTAGTTGTAAGTTGTGTTGAAATTAGTATTTTTTATGACAAAATACAAATAGGATATTAATTATTGAACTCCTATCTAGAAAAATGTTATATATACTATAAAATTAATGATAAAAATATATATAACTATACATTGTACATATAAAATAAATAAAATAATTATATATTAATTAAACCGGTTCGACCATTGGTCCGACCACTGAACCATTGAACCGATAGCTTAACCGATTCGATGTCCGGTTCAATTTTGACAATCTTGATTAATACGATTAGACAACTATTAATAATCAAACTCACTAAATATATTGATTAATTTTATTTTCTTCAAATGTTAACTCAAATAATATACTTGTTTCATCTTTATTATTTATAGTAGAACCAAGGATCTGACATAGTTTTGGATGAAATAATATAGATAAAATAAGATATTCGAGGATTAGATACAGAGAATTCACTGCAATTTTGGTTAATGTTTTAGAAAATACTTCATTGATCTTTTAATAATAATATAATTTTGATATATATTATTGTATTCAATTATATATTTCTCAATCATCTATTGGCAATTGAAATAAGTATTTATGTGTAGGACAATATATATAATTAGTTATTTGTTTTTTTTGTATAAAAGTTAATTTAAAATAGTAAACAAGAAGTATGAATATTCTAGAGTAAAATGTAGCTTGGTGAGGAGCTTGTCTTTTAGTTTACCTACTGAAATTTAGTAAAGTAATCTTGTAAATTGTCAATTGTATTCTAGTACCCTGCCACGGTACAGACCCGAGTTCGATTCCTGGCTGGTGCAAGTATGTTTTCATTTGGTTTACATTTGAAAATTGAAACGCCTCCTTATTTACTACTTAGACAGCCGCAGCCGCAGTCCATATATGAATTATGAAACATGATCACTATTCTAAATTTATAAAATTACGTTTGGTATGGTTGGTATGATGGAATGAAATTTCGCATGAATGGAATGAATTGCAGAATGGAATGATTATGGGAATGGAATGAAACATGTTTTGTCATTGATACGTTTGGTATGCAGAAGGAATAAGACTGGAATTGAATGACATTATTATTTTTTATTATAAAAATAAATAAAATTTTTTGTTAAAAAAATAATATATTTTTAATAAATTATATATAAATGATTTTTCAATAATATATAAAAATACAATAATATATTTTTAATAATATATAAAAATAAAATAATATATTGTTTAGTAATATAAAAAAATAATATATTTTTAATAATATATAAAAAAATAATATACTTTTATATTATATATATTCTTAAAAGTAATATATTTTTATAATTTCAAAAATAATATATTTTTAATAATTTTTAAAAATAAAAAGTAATATATTTTTAATAATTTATATTTTATTTTTTAATTAAACAGTAAATAAAAGTAAGTTTTCAATTTTTTATTTGAATTTATTTTTTAAAATAATATATATTAATAATATTTAAAAATAAAAAGTAATATATTTTTAATAATATATATTTTTAATATTTTTCAATAATATATTTTTAATTATATATTTTTAATATATAAAAGTAATATATTTTTAATAATATATAAAAATAAAATAATATATTTTCAAATTATATATAAATGCTTATTTTAGTTTTATTTTCATATAAGTATTTAATATATCTAATAAAAAAATAAATAAAAGTAAGTATTCAATTTTTTTATTTGAATCTTTTTTAAAAAAAAATAATTTTATTTACTATATTTTAATCATGATTTATAATATATATTATATATTTATTTTTATTATTATTTGTTAATTTTATTTTCTGAAAAATTGATTCCTACACAAATGGGAATGAGAAAATCTTTCATATGGAATGGCTAATCCCATGGAGATGGGTTTTGCCATTCCCATTGGAATGGTCATTCCTTCCCAAAAATATACCAATTATGGGATAAGGAATGAGTAAGGGAATGATCATTCCATTCCCATGTCATTCCTTCCTACCAATCATGCCACATTATTGTTTATGCAAAGCTAATTTATTGTCAATATATTGTATGATTTAGACAATTATTGTTTGCAATAAAGAAATAGATTTTTTGGTGAAAATTTGATGTTCAATTTAGCTAAAACATCATGTTTTCATTTCACACTTAAAAAGTTTTTTTACAGATTAGAAATTAGAAATTAAGGGCGATAGGATTTNATTTTTTACATATTAGAAATTAAGGGCGATAGGAACTCTTTTTCAAAAAAAAATTCTCTCGTCCGAATGAGTGATTTTTTTATTTTTTTTTTGGTCAAACATCAAATATATAATAATCCAGCTCAATAGGATACAATGTTCGATTAACCAACGGGTTAGATACATAAGAAACAAACAGAGAAATATCAAGTATTGATATCTCCCTCTTCGACCATCATGGCCTTTGACCACATAACCGGTACTGAACAGATAGCGTTGCATTCACACTTGAATTGGTTAATCACGGTACCATGAATTT